ACAAGAGGGTTAGGAGGGCCCTGCTCCTTGGAGCTTACAATCTAGGAGGGAGGGGCTAGTGGTACAAAAGGTGGTAACTGTGGGGGATAGACTGGTTGGAAGAGTAGAAGATTCCAGTATTAGCTGAGGGTGGGATAGGCTTCTCTGAAGAGATAGGTTTTCAGAGATCGCCTAAAAGTGAGCAGAGTAGGCGATAGTCTGATAAATTGGGGTAGAGCGTTCCAGATTACACTTACTATTTTCTGCCTGCCATGACCTCTGCTTTACCCTAGATTTTGCTTATTGTCTGCTGCTTGCCCTGACCTCTGCCTAACCCTGGATTACGCTTATTGTCTGCTGCCTGCCCTGACCTCTGGCTGACCCTGTATTATGCCTAGTGTTTGCTGCCTGCCCCCCTAACCTCTGCCTGACCCTACATTACACTTACTATTTTCTGCCTGCCATGACCTCTGCTTTACCCTAGATTCTGCTTATTGTCTGCTGCCTGCCCTGACCTCTGTCTGACCCTGTATTATGCCTAATGTTTGCTGCCTGCCCCACTAACCTCTGCCTGACCCTACATCACACTTACTATTTTCTGCCTGCCATGACCTCTGCTTTACCCTAGATTCTGCTTATTGTCTGCTGTTTGCCCTGACCTCTGCCTAACCCTGGATTACGCTTATTGTCTGCTGCCTGCCCTGACCTCTGTCTGACCCTGTATTATGCCTAATGTTTGCTGCCTGCCCCACTAACCTCTGCCTGACCCTACATTACACTTACTATTTTCTGCCTGCCATGACCTCTGCTTTACCCTAGATTCTGCTTATTGTCTACTGCCTGCCCTGACCTCTGTCTGACCCTGTATTATGCCTAGTGTTTGCTGCCTGCCCCCCTAACCTCTGCCTGACCCTACATCACACTTACTATTTTCTGCCTGCCATGACCTCTGCTTTTCCCTAGATTCTGCTTATTGTCTGCTGCCTGCCCTGACCTCTGCCTAACCCTGGATTACGCTTATTGTTTGCTGCCTGCCATGACCTCTGCTTTTCCCTAGATTCTGCTTATTGTCTGCTGCCTGCCCTGACCTCTGCCTAACCCTGGATTACGCTTATTGTTTGCTGCCTGCCCTGACCTCTGCCTCCCATAAATTGTACTTATAGTCTGCCACCTGTCCTGATTTCTGCCTCACCTGTTATGCTTGTTTTCTGTTGCCTTCCCTGACCACCACCTGCCTCTTGATTTCATTACAGGCTACTCACCTGCTGTGCAACAGCCTAGTCCTGATACTCCTGAAGTGCTCAGCCGTAGGACTGATTCTATGAAGGAAACTGGGAATAGATGAAGCCGCATTCACCATTTATAGTCTCTGACCGCTAGTACTGGGGTGAGCATTACACGTTTTCAGTGCTGTGTTAGTTTGACTGACAGCTGTTCTGTCATGCAATAGTGTACCAAATTTAATGTTTTTTAACAGATAGAGCTTTCTTTTAATGATCTTTTTAATAGCCTTTTTTTTTTATTTCTACTACATAAAGGAACGTTTTGAATAAAATATATTACTGTAAATAGAAATGCCAGGACAGTTTGAACACCCTCAAAATGACTGCTTTTTGGAAAAAAGACACCACAGAGTGATCTCTCTTTTTTTGCTGTATTAAGGGTGGTTAAAGACCCCTTTTGACACGTGTATACTCTGATATTATAAAGCCATCCCAGTGATCTAGCTAACATAGCTAGTGTGCTCAATTAATCTGCAGGCATAAAATAGTCGGACTCAGTCGTTTTTTCAGCTCATATTGATTTGTGGCTAAGAGATATTTGTTACGTTTATCTATAAAGTTAATTGCAGATTCAAATGAGTTGCAGGGTCTGTGCTCCTATGCTAATTACAAAGAAATACTATCATTTGTTAGATGTCATTGTGGTCAATGGAAATAGACTTTACATGTCAAATGCAGCTCCTGTCTTGGCTTTTGTTTCATGAAAATTGGTTTATCAAAAACTTTGGTATTTTTTTAGAGCATTCTTCCCACTGATCACCAATGTAAGGGTCATTCTTCCCCCAGTCCGTGGAAAGGTGGGTTTTAGGTGCACTGTCCACATCACCAAAATGGTGGATAGGTGGGAGCCAGGGGCACTGTCAGTGTCACCAGAAATGGTGGATAGGTGGGAGCCAGGGGCACTGTCAGCATCACCAGAATGATGGATAGGTGGGAGCCAGGGGCACTGTCAGTGTCACCAGAATGGTGGATAGGTGGGAGCCAGGGGCACTGTCAGCATCACCAGAATGATGGATAGGTGGGAGCCAGCAGCACTGTTAGTGTCCCCAGAATGGTGGATAGGTGGGAGCCAGGGGCACTGTCAGCGTCACCAGAATGATGGATAGGTGGGAGCCAGGGGCACTGTCAGCGTCACCAGAATGATGGATAGCTGGGAGCCAGGGGCACTGTCAGTGTCATCAGAATGATAGATAGGTGGGAGCCAGGGGCACTGTCAGCGTCACCAGAATGATGGATAGGTGGGAGCCAGGGCACTGTCAACGTCACCAGAATGATGGATAGCTGGGAGCCAGGGGCACTGTCAGTGTCATCAGAATGAATAGGTGGGAGCCAGGGGCACTGTCAGCGTCACCAGAATGGTGGATAGCTGGGAGCCAGGGGCACTGTCAGTGTCACCAGAATGATGGATAGGTGGGAGCCAGGGCACTGTCAACATCACCAGAATGATGGATAGCTGGGAGCCAGGGGCACTGTCAGTGTCATCAGAATGGTGGATAGGTGGGAGCCAGGGGCACTGTCAGTGTCATCAGAATGGTGGGTAGGTGGGAGCCAGGGGCACTGTCAGCATCACCAGAATGGTGGATAGGTGGGAGCCAGGGGCACTGTCAGTGTCCCCAGACTGGTGAATAGGTGGGAGCCAGCAGCACGGTCTTTGTCACCAGAATGGCAGATAGGTGGGAGCCAGGGGCACTGTCAGTGTCATCAGAATGGTGGATAGGTAGGGGCCAAGGGCACTGTCAGTGTCACCAAGATGGTGGATAGATGGGAGCCAGGAGTACTGTCAGTGTCACCAGAATGGTGGATAGGTAGGAATGTGCAATTCCTATCGCCAGACACCCGGGACATGCAGTTTCAGGCAAGAGGGTTTTTTTTTTTTTTATATTTAGCCTTACTGTGGGCAAGCAGCAGGGTCTAGAACCGATGGTTGGCTTTCTTTAAAAACGATACATGTGACTAACTAGTTTTTTCAAGCAGCGGGAGGGGTCCCCCCCTGGGGGCCACCCTCTGCTACTTTCCTACATTATTCTTGGGCACCCAGGGGCCACATTCTGCTGCTCTACTGTATTAGGTTTTGGGGTTCAACACTGTGCTGTCTGGGGACCACACTGGGTGCTATCAGTATATGGGGGGGCAATAGGGTTGCCACCTGCCTGGGATTTACCCGGACAGTCCCGGTTTTGAATCATGTTTGAAACACAGACACATTATTCAGACCCGGAGTGTGGGCATAGCTTCAGGGGGCCCATGCAGCCACCCTGTCACACCTGGATAGGAGGGTTGGCATTTGTTAGAACCATGTACCTGTATTTTCCTGGGATGGAGGAGATGGGGCTGCAGGAGAATAATGTGGTAAGGAAGAAGGAGGGCATGGGATGGAGGAGGAATAACGTGGTAAGGAGGAGGACATGGATGGGGGATATGGGGCTGCAGGAGAATGGAGGAGGACATGGGATGGGGGAGGAGGGGGAGGAGGATAATGGGATGGAGGAGAATAACGGGGAGAGGACTGGAAAAGGACATGGGATGGAGGAGAAGGGATGGGGGAGATGGGACTGGGAAAAGGATAACGTGGTAAGGAGGAGGAGGACATGGGATGGATGGGGGCTGCAGGAGAATAACGTGGTAAGGAGGAGGACATGGGATGGGGGAGATGGGTCTGCAGAAAAGGATAACGTGGGATAAGGAGGAGGACATGGGATGGGGCTGCAGGAGAATAACGTGGTAAGGAGGAGGACATGGGATGGGGGAGATGGGGCTGCAGGAGAATAATGTGGTAAGGAGGAGGACATGGGATGGGGGAGATGGGACTGGAAAAGGATAACGTGGGATGGAGGAGGAGGAGATGGGACTGGAAGAGGAGGAGGACATGGGATAGGGGAGATGAGACTGGAAGAGAAGGACATGGGATGGAGGAGGACATGGTGTGGATGAGATAGGATGGAGGGCGGGCCCTGGGGAATGTTGGTGGTCAGGGCCAGGGGGACCCTGGTCTAAAGCTGTGTAAAGGGCCCAAAACCAGCCAACGCTTCCACCTGCTGATCATAGAGGTGGACGAAGGATGGAACCGCTCTGTCCGCCTCTATGATATAGGAAACAGGAAGCGATGAGCACACTTCACTTCGGATTTCCCCAGATGTAAATAGCGCATTTTAAAAAATAGAAATCACTTGATCACACCGATCTTGGTGTGATCAAATGTTTTTAAGGGCAGAGGAGGGATCTGGGGTCTCACTGACCCAAGATCTCTCCATAAAGAGTGCCTGTGATTGTCTATTGTTGTCACAAGAGATGCAAGGGCCCCACATGCACGAAACCAACGATCATCCCACACATGTGAGATATCACCGCGAACGGCAGATCATGGGCAGTACTTCTAGCACCAGATTTACTGTGTAAATCTAAAGTGGTCACCTGTAAAGGCTTTTAAAGCATTGCCTATGGATTCAAAACAATTTAATAGTCCTTCAATATCCAATAAAGCTGCATTTCCCCCCCCCGTGATGTGATTTATCTCTTCCTTTTCCTTTTTCTCAAGATCTGTGATCAATGCAAACACCCAGTGATAATATGTGCTCACCTTGTGCATTGGACTTCAATACAGATCAAGGTCACAACACACTTGTTGCCCCACCTTGGGCGTATGTGGCATCAGCTATTCACTCTTGCTCCTTCCTACTCAGTGTTCCTCACCACAGGTACATCACATGCAAAAATTGAATGGGACCACAATGGCGCTCTCTGAATAGAAACAATTTATTAACCTCCTTAGCGGTATTCCCGAGTGTAGCTCGGGGTAAAATTTCAATACCAAGAGCGGTAACCCCGAGCTACACTCGGGCTTACCATGCGGCGTTGCTCAGGGGGTCCCTGCAGAACTTACCTTGTCTTTCGCTCCCGCGATGTGTCCCCTGCAGCGTCCCCGGCCATCTCCTCCGGCCGATGCCGGCATCCGGCTTTTTTTGTTACGGTCCCTGTGACGTCGGGACGTACGGGCGCCGGAACCGGCGGGAAATTTGAAATTTTTAAAAAAAGTCATTTTTGCTGTCATTGCATTTCACATACATTTTGTCCCGAGTGCTTTGTCCGGCGCCCTGCCTGCATTTTTACTGTTCTTTCTGCCTGCCTGGAAACTGAGAAACGTCCATGGAGTCCAAAAAGCGTCCCTTTACGTCAAAAGCGGTTTTAGACCGGCTAGAGAACAGCGATAGTAAATCAGAACCACTTGCAGAATTGAGTGATAATGATTTGTGGGGAAAATTCGTCATCAGACATTGAAAATGATTTTGCGACTTTGCTCAGTGATGTGCGAATTTGCCTCTGTATTTCAAATTTCAGTTTTTTTTTGGTTTGATTATATTATTGAATTAAATTTATTATTATATTTATTATTTTTTATGATTATTTATTAAATTATAATTTATGATTTCGTGTTTCAAGTTTTATCATATCCGGGATGTTTACTAGACTCTTGTTCGGACAGATTTCAGTGAGTTATTCCTAAAAATTACAGCCTACAATAAAAAACTACATATTTCCATGCAAAAAAATGGTACCGCTTTCAGCACAAAAAAATCGGAAAGAATCATACCGCCGAGGAGATTAAAAGCTCCCAAAATCAATACTTACTTTTAAAAAGCACCCACAGTTCTATGTATCTCAGCATGAATGAACTATGGATCATAGTGATTAGTACTCTGTAACACTGAACTGAAAACCTATAGGGGGCTATAGAAAATATGGGGTACTGAAGTTTGTTGCTATTTTAATTAGGGATGCACCGGAATTTTGGTGGTTGAATCGTTTCGGCCGAAAACACTCTTCTAGGCTGTTGGCCGAAATGAAAAAAAAAATAACACCGATACAGGTGCCGAAAAAAACCCAGCCCTTCGTTGCCGGCCGCCGCTCGGTAGTTATCAGCCTTACCTGAGAAACCATCAATCCCGGCGCTGGGTATAGAGATGAGTGAAGGAAAGATGGCCGCCACTCATCTCTATGCCCTTGGAGGACCAGAGCCATGTCACTTCCAGTTCCGGACATTTTTTTTTTTTTTTGTATTAACCACCTCCCTTCTGGCCGTTGTATATAAACGGCCAGACGGTGGCAGTGCAGGATCGGGTGGCCATTTATAAACGGCCTCCCCGCACCCTGCTTGTGCGCAATCTGGTGCCTGCTGTGTCCTCCGGACACAGTGAAACACCGATCGTCGGACGGGACCTCTGTACGAGGTCCCGATCATGTGATCACTGATTGGCCAATCAGTGATCACATGCAAAGTAGTAAGCAAGATGTCACTTCTGACATCATTGCTTACTACGTGTGAAATCTGTGAATGATCACAGAGGTCACATGATACAGGGCTATTCACAACAGCCTTGTACCATGTGACAAGCTGTGACCAATCACAGCTCACTCAGTAGTTCTCAATGGCTACAAGAATGCAGACAGAGAGAAAGAGAAATTATTGCTTTTACATCCTATATTGGTGTGTAAAAGCAATCCGTGTAAAAAAAAAAAAAAAAAAAAATCTTCATCACCCCCACAAGTAGTACAGTGTCACCATGGTGACACTGTACTGCTAGGGTGACAGTATGTAAAAAAAAAAAAAAAAACATAAATAATAATATAAAAAAATGTAAAAAAATGTTTAAAAATTATAATTTTCGGCATATAAACTAATTTGGCTTTTTTTTTTTTTACTAAAAAGATAATGGAATAAATTTTGGCCAAGATTTATAATGAAATATTATTTATTTGCAAAATTTTATAAGAAAAACACTTTTTTTTTAAATTTTTGGACTTTTTCATTTACATAGCAAAAAAATAAAAATCCCAGCAGTGAATAAATACCACCAAAATAAAGCTTTATCTGTCTCAAAAAATGGTAAAAAATTCATATGGGTACAGTGTTGCATGACCGTGCAATTGTCATTCAAAGTGTGATAGCGCTGAAAGCTGAAAATTGCCCTGGACAGGAAGGGGGGGGGGGGGGGGGGAGTGTCCAGACTGGAAGTGGTTAAGGCACTAGATCAATGTTTTTTTTTCAATGTTTTTTTTATCTAATGCTTTACATTGCAGAGGAGACTTGCATGGACTCCAAAGACATGCTGGTAGGTTAATTGGCTCCTGTCTTATTGACCCCATTTCTCTCCATAAAGAGGACCTGTCACTAATTATTTCTATCACAAGTGATGCATACCTTCCTTGTGATAGGAATAAAAGTGATTATTTTTTTTTTAAAGGGACAGTGCAAAAGAACAAAACAAAACAAAAAACTAAATTAAAAAAAAAAATTTAAAATGCCCCCGTCCCCCTGAGCTCGCACATAGTGGTGAACACATACGTAGACCACGCCCACATATGTAAATGGAGTTCAAACAATACAGGTGAGGTATCACCACGAACGTCAGAGCAAGAGCAATAATTCTCGCACTAGACCTCCTCTGTATGTTACACTGCTAACCTGTAGAAATTTTTAACACATCACCCATGGAGATTTTTAAGTACCGCAGTTTCACGCCATTCCACGAGCGTGCGCAATTTTAAAGCATGATATGTTGGGTATCTATTTACTCGCCATAACATCCTCTTTCATATTTTACAAAAAATATTGGGGTATATATTGTTGTTTTTTTTTTTTTTTTTTAATCAGTGTATTTTTTTCCCAAAAAAAAATACTAATTTTTAAAAACTGCATTTCAGTTTCGGTTTTTGGCCAAGTTCATTTTGAATTTCTGTTTTTGGTTTCAGCACCAGAATTTTTCATTTCGGTACACCACTAATTTTAATGGTGCATTAAAATTTAAGGTTTGACATGTTTGGTATCTATTTACTTGGTGCAACCTCGTCTTTTATATGTTACCAACATTTGGGTCATTTATTGTCATTGTTTGCCTTAAAATTTACTTTAGTGTGTTTTTTACCTTTGCAGTAATATCATGTGACATAAAAAATTGAAACTACCACCATTTTATTCTCTAGGGCAGCCTTTCCCAACCAGGGTTCCTCCAGAGGTTGCTAGGGGCTCCCTGACCAATGAGAATCTTCTGCCTCTCAGATGATTAACTACTGACACCAATGATCTTTTCTGTCAGCTATCTGTAATGAGGAATTCATTTAGGATCCTCTACTTACCCTAAATGTAATGAGCATTCTTCCCTTTTGACCATTACACTGTATGCTTCAGATATAGCAATTATTAGCAGGGGTTCCCTGAAACCAGAAAAGTATTTCAAGGGTTCCTCCATTTTAAAAAGTTTGAAAAAAATCTGCTCTAGGGTGTCTGCTTTCAGAAAATATAGAATGTCGGATCAAATTCAAAATCCTAACACTGACGTACAAAGCTGTCCACCATACTGCCCCGAACTACATCACTGACCTAATATCCAAGTACCGCCCAACACACACACACTCCGCTCCTCACAAGACCTCCTTTTCTCTAGTTCCCTGGTCACCTCCTCCCATACCCGCCTCCAGGACTTCTCCAGGGTGTACCCATCCTCTGGAATCCCTGCCCCAACCCATTCACCTGCTCTCCTCTCCTTTAGGCGCACCCTGAAAACCCATCTCTTCAGGGAAGCCTACCCCACCCCCTACTAACTTGCCGACCTCATCCACTCTTCCTACCACCCCCATCCCCCACCAGCTTTCTCCTTCTGTGCCACCATCCCCACCCTCCTAGATTGTAAGCTCGAAAGAGCAGGGCCCTCGATCCCCTCATGTTTTGCATTGTATTGGTATTGTTCTGTCACATGTTCTGCCCCCCTTTGTAATGTACAGCGCTGAGCGAACTATTGTCGCTTTATAAATACTGTATAAAATAATAATAATAATAATGTTTGGGGTTTTGTGTAATCTTCAGGCCTAAAATGATGATTTTTTTAAAGGCAAATACATTTTTGTTGAATTTTATAAAGAAGTGATTCCATTAAAAAGGTACATGAGAGTATAGGAGAACAACACTGCCACATCATATACAGATAGGATGTCATAATATTAATAGAAAACATAATATAATAGTATATAGAAAAAAACAAAAACTAAAATGACTTTTTAAATGGGGCAGCACAGTGGCTTAATGGTTAGCTCTTCTGCCTGGCAGTACTTGGGTCATTGGTTCAAATCCCAACCACTGCATCACCTGCCTGGAGTTTGCATGTTCTTCCTGTGCCTGCGTGGGTTTCCTCCGGTTTCTCTGGTTTCCTCCCACACAACCAAAGACATGCTGGTAGGTTAATTGTCCCCTGTCTAAATTGTCCCTAGTATGTGTATGTATGAATGTGAGTTAGGGACCTTAGATTGTACGCCCCTTGAGGGTTAGGGACTGATGTGAATGTACAATATATATGTAAAGTGCTGTGTAAATTGATGGCGCTATACAAGTACCTGAAATAATAATGTGTGCAAACAATGCAAAAATGGCTCTTGCAGCAAAAGGGTTAAAGTGGTATCAAAGGCTTGTTTTTTTTTAAAGTGCAGTTTCCACTCACATTGTCAAAAAATAAAAGTCATCAGCTACAAAAACTGCAGATGACTTTTAAAAAACAACCACTTGCCTGTCCCTCGGTCCCGCTGTGTGTTTTCCGCAGCCCGTTTCACCTGCCGTCCTGTATTCCAGGAGGCCGGCATCTTCAGTGTGGTCACCCGGCTCTGACAGCTTGCTGCACTTCATGAAGGGTCCTGTGAAGCTCTGACAGCTTGCTGCACTTCATGAAGGGTCCCGTGAAGCTCTGACAGCTTGCTGCACTTCATGAAGGGTCCTGTGAAGCTCTGACAGCTTGCTGCACTTCATGAAGGGTCCCGTGAAGCTCTGACAGCTTGCTGCACTTCATGAAGGGTCCCGTGAAGCTCTGACAGCTTGCTGCACTTCATGAAGGGTCCCGTGAAGCTCTGACAGCTTGCTGCACTTCATGAAGGGTCCCGTGAAGCTCTGACAGCTTGCTGCACTTCATGAATGGTCCTGTGAAGCTCTGACAGCTTGCTGCACTTCATGAAGGGTCCTGTGGAGCTCTGACAGCTTGCTGCACTTCATGAATGATCCTGTGAAGCTCTGACAGCTTGCTGCACTTCATGAATGATCCTGTGAAGCTCTGACAGCTTGCTGCACTTCATGAATGGTCCTGTGAAGCTCTGACAGCTTGCTGTACTTCATGAATGGTCCTGTGAAGCTCCTGACAGCTTGCTGTACTTCATGAATGGTCCTGTGAAGCTCTGACAGCTTGCTGTACTTCATGAATGGTCCTGTGAAGCTCTGACAGCTTGCTGCACTTCATGAATGGTCCCGTGAAGCTCTGACAGCTTGCTGCACTTCATGAATGATCCTGTGAAGCTCTGACAGCTTGCTGCACTTCATGAATGGTCCCGTGAAGCTCTGACAGCTTGCTGCACTTCATGAAGGGTCCTGTGGAGCTCTGACAGCTTGCTGCACTTCATGAATGGTCCTGTGAAGCTCTGACAGCTTGCTGCACTTCATGAATGATCCTGTGGAGCTCTGACAGCTTGCTGCACTTCATGAATGATCCTGTGAAGCTCTGACAGCTTGCTGCACTTCATGAATGATCCTGTGAAGCTCTGACAGCTTGCTGCACTTCATGAATGGTCCTGTGAAGCTCTGACAGCTTGCTGCACTTCATGAATGGTCCTGTGAAGCTCTGACAGCTTGCTGTACTTCATGAATGGTCCTGTGAAGCTCTGACAGCTTGCTGCACTTCATGAATGGTCCTGTAGTCTTCTGGGACCTGTCATGTGTACCAAAAGACTAGAGGGAGGGAGGGAGGACACCTTCCGCTTCCAATCGCCTAGGCTGCCAATCCTTAATGGGGAGCGGGGGAGCAGTCCTTAAAGCGGAACTTCCCCTTTTGGGTGGAGCTCCGCTTTAATGTTACATGTTATATAGCTACCTGCTGTGTGTAATGGTTTTGCACAAAACAGTCCTGATCCTCCTATTCTCAGGTCCCCTGCCGGCTCTCCTGGCCATTCCCTCCTGCCAAGTGCCCCCACAGCAAGCATCCAAGGCGCTGCTCTGCATGTCCGTTCACACAGAGCTGCGGCTCGGCCCCACCTCTTCTCTCTTCTCATGTGATTGACAGCAGTGGGAGCCAATGGCTCAGCCAATGAGGAGGGAGAGTCCCTGGAGATCCGATGGGGCTCAGGTAAGTATTGGGGGGGAGGGTGCTACACACAAAAGGTTTTTTTATACAGTATATATATATATATATATAAATTATATATATATATATTCTGTATATCATTCTATATTCGGATCAAGCTTTTTTATGACACTTTTTGTTTACATGTAAAAAAGGGGTTTTTTTGCTAGAAAATTACTTAGAACCTCCAAACATATATATTTTTTTTAAAGCAGAGACCCTAGAGAATAATATGGTGGGTATTGCAATTTTATGTCACATGGTATTTGCACAGCGTTTTTTTTTTCAAATGCAATTTGTTTGGAAAAAACACACTTTTTGGAATTGTAATGCACAAAACCACAATATGATACCCAGTTGTTTGGCAAAATTTAAAAGATGATGTTATACCAAGTAAATTGACACCAAACATATTGCGCACGCCTGCGCAATAGCGGCAAACGACGTAAATGTCATTCTCCATAGGCGACGCTTTAAAAGCCTTTACAGGTTACCACTTTAGGCCTTGTCCTAGAATTACCTGATCTAACTTTTTCGGTGATACCTAACATATGGGGGACTGTCAGGAATGGACTCGCTAATGGTGGTGGGACTCGCCTGCCTTGTGGGCTGCAGTACGAGGGCTGGCCAGCCGGTGCTCTCAGCAGCCAGAAGCTCACTCCTGCAATCAAGCCATCACCTGAGGCTGATTGCAGGAGGTGTATTTAAGGAATGGCCAGGCCTGCAGTCAGGGCCTTGGTGTGTTGTTCCCATGAGCCCCTGTACCTGCATCCTGTCTGCTTCCTGCCTGATCCTGACTCTGCTTGATCCTGACCCTCCTCGATCCGATCTCTGTATGAACTCTGCCTGCACCGACCTCGGCTGCTCCTGACCAATCTTCTGCCTACTCCTTGTACCTTGTCTGCCCGTTAGCTACCGACCCGGCCCGCCTGACTACGTTGTGCTCCATATTTATATATATATCAGTTAAGGTTTGGGTTTGTTGCACCTTGTACGTATTTGCGTTAGTTTTGGGTTTGGTTTGTTGCACTGCGTTTATGTTTGTGTTGCCCTTAATAAATTATATTGTTTTACACGCTATACCTGAAGTCTGTGTTTCCCTGTGTCGGTCCACACACCTCTGGTCTTACCTGGAGCCCTGACAGGGTCAATCTCTGTTTGAGCAACGCATTCATTCACCTTTTTCACGCAAGAACGGCGGTACAGGGGTTCTTAATTTTTTTTGTTGTTTTTTTTACACTGTCACTAGATTTTTTTAAATCACTTTTATTGTTATCACAGGGAATATAAATATCTCCTGTGATAGCAATAGGCAATGACAGGTACTCTTTATGGAGAGATCTAGAATCTGTTAGTTCCTGGATCTCTCTTCTGCCCTTAAAAGCATCAGATCACACCAAGATCAGTGTGATCAGATACTTTACCATTTTAAAGATGGGGCTGTTTACATCTGGGAAAACTGAGAGTTATGAATGCTCATTGCTTCCGGTTTCCCATAGAGGTGATCAGAGCTGATCCAGTCTCTGTAATCAGTTGAGGGAAGCACCAGCTGATCACTCGGGTCTCCTGGCGGGATGGGAGAGCCCAAGAGAGCCACAGCAGGAGGGGGGGGGGGGCATCCCTTCCAACTGCTTTTTAAAGCAATTCAGCAGCTAATTAGCCATTTGATTGCTTTTATAAGAAAGACGGCTCTAAAAAAACAGCGGATACTGCATATCATCAGGGCTTTTTTTTTTTTTTAGCGGAACGCAGGAGAATGCAATTCCGGCACCTCCAGCACTAAATTTATGTAATGGCAAGAGGTGCTGGAGGGTATTGATGCTGGTTGTTGGGGGATCTGTTGTCACTGGGGGGGGGGGGTTTGTTGTTGTTGGGGAAGATTATTGTTGCTGGTGAGGGATCTATTGTTCCTGGGGGGTTGTCTTATGTTGCTGGGAGGGATTTACTGTTGACGGAGGGGTCTATTGCTAGCTGGGAGATCTATTGTTGCTGGGGTGGAGCCATTGTTGCTGGGCGGGGGGGTATTTTGTTGCATGGGTCTATCTTTGCTGGGGGATCTATTGCTGATGGGGGTATTTTGTTGTAGGTGGCCTATTGCTGGGGGTGGTCTATTGTTGCTGGCTGCAGGGGATCTAACTGCTTTATTGTTATCATTAACACATTCCATACAAATTTCTTAGCCCCTCAAAATGATACTTGGTTGTGTATTCTCGAAAAGGTGCTGGGAGGTGGGTAGGGTGAGGAACCAAGGGGACAGTGCTCAGAGGTCGGTAGGGTGAGGAATCAAGGGACAGTGCTTAGAGGTGGGTACGGCGAGGAACCAAGGGACAGAGCTCAGAGGTGGGTAGGGCGAGGAACCAAGGGACAGTGCTTAGAGGTGGGGTAGGGCGAGGAACCAAGGGACAGAGCTCAGAGGTGGGTAAGGCGAGGAACCAAGGGACAGTGCTCAGAGGTGGGTAGGGCGAGGAACCAAGGGACAGTGCTCAGAGGTGGGTAGGGCGAAGAACCCAAGGGACAGTGCTCAGAGGTGGGTAGGGCGAGGAACCAAGGGACAGTGCTCAGAGGTGGGTAGGGCGAGGAACCAAGGGACAGTGCTTAGAGGTGGGTAGGGCGAGGAACCAAGGGACAGAGCTCAGAGGTGGGTAAGGCGAGGAACCAAGGGACAGTGCTCAGAGGTGGGTAGGGCGAGGAACCAAGGGACAGTGCTCAGAGGTGGGTAGGGCGAAGAACCAAGGGACAGTGCTTAGAGGTGGGTAGGGCGAGGAACCAAGGGACAGTGCTCAGAGGTGGATAGGGCGAGGAACAAAGGGACAGTGCTCAGAGGTGGGTAGGGCGAGGAACCAAGGGACAGTGCTCAGAGGTGGATAGGGCGAGGAACAAAGGGACAGTACTCAGAGGTGGGTAGGGAGAGGAACCAATAGACAGTGCTCAGAGATGGGTAGGGGGCAGGGACAAAAGGTAACTCAGAAGGGGAGGTTCCTGCACCTATTCTCAGAAAAAAAAGCCCTATATATATATATATATATATATATATATATATTCAGTTGTCATTTATAATTGCTTTCATGTAAATTAATTTATGACAGCCTAAAAATAAATCTCCACCACTTCTACAAGCCATAATTCCACAGACTCCCAAGATGCAATAAACAAGCAGCACAAATGTATTTTCCGTTGCCCCAGTTAGGGACGGAATACAACTTTTGCATGAAGTTTACTTTACTTCTGTTCACTTAAATGGCACTTTTCTTATCATTCACCCTGCAGCTAAAATCAGCCGATGCTGCGATTCCCGGTTTTCCTAATTAATGACAGTAATTAGCAATTAACAGTTCATTAACTTTTAATTAAAAATTGATGCAGCTGATCAGGTGGGTAGTGGTGGCAGGAGACAAATGACAAATATATATATAAAAAAAAAAAAGTTACTAGGATTACTATATGAACGTTTTTTTTTATTTTAAAGTCCAATTCCACCCAGAACATTTTTTTTTGGATGGTGTGAGGTGAACCCCTTTCTGGTTTTGGTTTCTGGAATATGTGCAAATGAGGTGCTGGACTGAGCTCATCAGTGGGTCATGGGTAGCAGAGGTCAATCAAATTCATATGAGCAAAATGGCTCTGGCGAGGCTGCTGTCAAAAACAATACAGGGTGTCCCTTAGGCTGCATTCACACTTGAGCGTTTTGTAGCTTAAAGCTAGAAGCTCTAAAAAAACTTAAAAAAAAATCAATTGTTCTCTATGGTGCCTGTTCACACCTGATCCTGTGAACAAGCAGCCTAGAGAACAATTGATTTTTTAAATTTGAGTGTTTTTGGAGCTCCAAGCTTCAATCTACAAAAATGCTCAAGTGTGAATGCAGCCTAAAACCTGGGGACATGGAGTATGGAAACCAAGTCCAATGAGTGTACCACACCAAGGAATTAGTTCCAGTTTTAAAAAAATATTAACTCAAAAAGTTCATTCTATTGCTCTCCTCCAATTTTTGTTGTGATCTGACATTTTAGTATGGGGAGAAAACTATTCCCCTCATGCCAGGGTACTAGGTGTAATCCTGAACTCCCATTTGTCCTTTCAGCCCCAAATCCAATCGCTGTGCAAATCATGTAGACTTCACCTCCGCAACATCTCCAAGATACGACCGTTCCTAACCTCGGAAACTACTAAGCAACTCATTCACTCCCTTGTTATATCACACCATGACTACTGTAACTCCCTCCTCATTGGCCCACCTCATCGCAGGTTATCCCCGCTTCAGTCTATCATGAATGCTGCTTCCAGACTCATCCACCTTACTAACCATTCTGTATCCGCCACCCACCCCTCTCTGCCAATCCCTCCACTGGCCTCCACTCAGTGTCCTCCACCCCTCTCTGCCAATCCCTCCACTGTCCTCCACTCAGTGTCCTCCACTCCTCTCTGCCAATCCCTTCACTGGCCTCCACTCAGTGTCCTCCATCCCTCTCTGTCAATCCCTCCACTGGCCTCCACTCAGTGTCCTCCATCCCTCTCTGCCAATCCCTCCACTGGCCTCCACTCAGTGTCCTCCATCCCTCTCTGCCAATCCCTCCACTGGCCTCCACTCAGTGTCCTCCATCCCTCTCTGCCAATCCCTCCACTGTCCTCCACTCAGTGTCCTCCATCCCTCTCTGCCAATCCCTCCACTGGCCTCCACTCGGTGTCCTCCACCTCTCTCTGCCAATCCCTCCACTGTCCTCCACTCAGTGTCCTCCATCCCTCTCTGCCAATCCCTCCACTGTCCTCCACTCAGTGTCCTCCATCCCTCTCTGTCAATCCCTCCACTGGCCTCCACTCAGTGTCCTCCATCCCTCTCTGCCAATCCCTCCACTGGCCTCCACTCGGTGTCCTCCACCTCTCTCTGCCAATCCCTCCACTGTCCTCCACTCAGTGTCCTCCATCCCTCTCTGCCAATCCCTCCACTGTCCTCCACTCAGTGTCCTCCATCCCTCTCTGTCAATCCCTCCACTGGCCTCCACTCAGTGTCCTCCATCCCTCTCTGCCAATCCCTCCACTGTCCTCCACTCAGTGTCCTCCATCCCTCTCTGCCAATCCCTCCACTGGCCTCCACTCGGTGTCCTCCACCTCTCTCTGCCAATCCCTCCACTGACCTCCATTCATTGTCCTCCATCCCTCTCTGCCAATCCCTCCACTGACCTCCATTCAGTGTCCTCCACCCCTCTCTGCCAATCCCTCCACTGGCTTCCCATTGCCCAATGGATAAAATTCAAAACATTAACAATAACTCTGCCCCTAATTACATCACCGACCTTGTCTCTAAATATCACCCAAACCATACTCTCTGCTCCTCGCAAGACCTACTACTCTCTAGCGCCCTTGTCTCCTGCTCCCATGCTTGTCTCCAGGACTTCTCCGGAGCTTCCCCCATCCTCTGGAACTCTCTACCCCAATTTGTCAGACTATCGACTACTCTGCTCACTTTTAGGTGATCTCTGAAAACCTCTCTCTTCAGGGAAGCCTATCCTGCCCTCAGCTATTAATGGAATCTTCTACTCTTCCAACCAGTCTATCCCCCACAGTTACTACCTTTTGTACCACTAGCCCCTCCCTCCTAGATTGTAAGCTCCAAGGAGCAGGGCCCTCCTTTGCCTCTTGTATTGAACTGTATTGTTGCTGTATTGTCTCCCGTTGAGCAAACTGTTGGCGCTATATAAATCCTGTATAATAATAATAACAATAATTCAGTCTCAGGGAGCTTAAGGAAGAGAGAATGTCACCAGCACACTGAAGATCCCCAGTATGAGTCCAAAAGTTTTAATGAACGATCACATAGTTACAAGAAGGCAATGTTTCGGAGTCTCGCAGGACCCTTTCTTGAGGCATGTGACCACTGGGCTTGTCTGAGTATTTCACAAACTGCTGATCTACTGGGATTTCCACACACAACCATCTCTAGAGTTTACAGAGAATGGTCCGAAAAAGAGAAAATATCCAGTGAGTAGCAGTTGTGTGGACGAAAAACGCCGTGTTGATGTCAGAGGAGAATGGGCAGACTGGTTCAAGATGATAGAAAGGCAACAGTAACTCCAATAATCACTCCGTTACAACCAAGGTATGCAGAATACCATCTCTGAATGCACAACATCTTGAAGCAGATGGGCTACAGCAGCAGAAGACCACACCGGGTGCCCACTCCTGTCAGCTAAGAACAGGAAACAGAGGCTACAATTCGCACAGGCTCACCAAAATTGGACAATAGAAGATTGGAAAAATGTTGCCTGGTCTGATGAGTCTTGATTTTCAGCTGCGACATTCAGATGGTAGGGTCAGAATTGGCGTAAACAACATGAAAACATGTATCCATCCTGCCTTGTATCCAAGGTCCAGGCTGGTGGTGTAATGGTGTGGAGGAGATTTTCTTGGCAAACTTTTTTAGTCATTTTTATGGGTTGATAACAATTGTTGTTTTGTATAAATTAATTTATTATTGAATTATAATTAGATACTAGCACTGCGGCAGTATT